AAACACTTCCTGATCCTAATAGGAAGTCACAAACTTATAAATCCCTAAGTAACATCTAAAATGGAACAAAAAGAGCTGGAAATATCTAAGGATATCCCACCCCTGATCATCATGTTATAAACTGGATCACAAAACACAAACCTGTTTTTCTCCATCAACCTGACCAGGAAGACAGTGCTCTGAGTTATAATCTGAAAACAATTTCAATTCCACATGAGGATATCTTCCAGTTTCCATCTTGTAAAATAGCTAAAAATTGACTACGAAGACTTTGACTTCCAGAGTCTTCAATTCAAACAAAATTAGACTTTCATATGCCTAAAACTGCAGTGATACAAATCCTCATGCTTCAGTGTTTAAAGCCAGTCAGTCTGCCAAAGGTTAAAAAAACGTATCCCACAGAGCCACATGCATTTACTTCTGAAGTTCTGAAACTAGCTACTGTCAAGAGTGCAGCCCATTAGCCAACAGATATGCCTGCTCTTGAACTGTAATTCCCAAATTCCTTATTAATAGTGAAGAGAAAGTTTAATAGATTTTGTGTGTACCTGTATCATGCATTCAAACTGGTACATACAAAGGCCCAGTTCAGCCATGCTTGGTTTAAAGAGTTCTCGTAGTCTGTAATCTTGCATTAATTTAACAAACACACAGAACGCCTCTTCTTCTGGCATCTATATTAGAAATAAAAAAGCACAGTAAAAACTCTGGACAAATCTCTGAGGAGATTCAATGTAATAGAACTGAAATGAGAAGTTCATTAATAGTTGAAACAACACTCATCAAAATAACTTGCAAGCCTGCAGTCCTACCTTAGCTCTGAGAAATAAATGTATTCTCTCACTCCAATATAGTGTCTTGGCAAATAGAACAACAGAAAGTAAATCTCATTTCATTTGCAGAGTAAACAGCTGCCCTTGACAACTCCATTTTATCAAAATGAAGAACACTATTGTAAAAATTCCCAACAAGTCACCACAATGTATTATGCATTCTAGCAGGGATTTTGAAGGTTCCCATATTTAATATTATGCTTACCTGCATAAGCAGTAATCCAACTATAAAAGCGCTTCCTTGACAGTATCCAACCTCACGATCCACCAAAGAATAAGCCTGGGAAATAAAGTTAAGACTCTCAACAATTAAAACCTCATCACCAATAAAAAGTAATCATAGCTCATCCTGCTATTTTGCTAATAACTCACTCTTCCATTCCAAAATCCAGCAAGGGCAGACATTCTATTCAGAAGTTTTAGTCAGATGTTCTAGTTGCTGCTACAAAGGGTATGAAGTCTGCTCTCTGATCACCTACAAAGCTGAGAGTAAGGCAAACCTACCAAAAATACAAGCAGTTTTCAACTACAAGAATTTGCCAAGATATCAGAGCCAGCTGGCATACAAACCACACAAGGTTACTACTTCTATAAGAGACAGACCAGACAAAGAAACAAGTTGGGTTTTTTTCAGAAAAAAATATGTGCTGCAGTTTTATCTATGGGAGGATGAAATGTGTTGATTTTCACGCATGTAGCATCTTCATTTTAGAGTTATGGAAGTTACTAAGATCTGGAAACCTGCTAACTTTTCTGTTGAAACTATGGCGTACGGAAAGGTCTGTCTTTCAAAATTTAAGCTCTAGTACAGTGAAGATAAAATAATGCAAACAATTTTATGTTGGCATTTCTTATTTTGTTTTTGGGCACTGGAACAACTGACCATTAGCTTGTACCTGCCATTTGCTGCTACCACTTGCAGGTTCAGAAATACTTGAAAACTGAATACTAGTTCTGATTGTCGATGTTCTTGTCTTGGTGAATGTTGTTTACTTCATTTCATGGCACACTTCATTCCACTGTACTATCAGCAGTTAGCATGTGACTTTGTTTTAATGCCTACTTAATGGTTTTACTTTGTAAGAGATTTAAAAAGCTTATAGGAATACCATTGGAAGCTCTCTTTGAAACTGGAATGTGATTTGTTAAAACCATTCCAGTGTCAATGGTTTAAAAACGAGTAAGTTGAAAAAAACCAAACCCATGAAACCGGTGCAAGTTCACTCTACACAAGGCAATCCAAACTTTTGTGCATCTTGTTGCTAATATATTTTCAAGGGTTGAAATACTGACTCACCTTCATTACATTGAACAAGACCTCCTGCCCAAGGCTATCTTTTTCTTTGAAAAAATCATGTTCAGGATATGTTCTAGCAATGTCCCTTCTTATTAATTTTTCACAAGGAGATGTCATTTTCAAAAGCTCTGAATACTGATCCTTAATTGGCATGCTCTGAGCACTGCATAAAAGTTGCCAAACAATTGCTCTGAAGTGATGAGGTATCCCTTTTCGAACCAGCTCCTAAAGCACAAAAAGACAAATTAATTTATATCTCCTAAAAATGTAAACTTAAGCCTAAAGAACAAAACACTTCAAATTAACTTCTTCGTAACATCAGGAAAAATTTACATCATAGCAAAAACTAATCATACAGTTTATAACATGTAAACTTTCATTTTAGTGTGATAGATTATTAAGTTAACAAAAGTAAGCAGTTTCTGAATGATTTTCAGTGGTTAAATTAGCTAATGAAAGTAGTACCCTATCCATGGTAAGCTACTTGAAAAACTGAATATTCAAATAATTTTATACAAGAACTTTCATTAACCAGAATTTAATACAATTGTTTCTAAATTTCACAAAAGACATAACACCCTTTGGTAAAATTTGTACTAAGTGAGATTTAAGAAATCACCAACTAAAAATTATTTCCAAGATAGGTAAATGACAAAAACTGAAACTAACTGTAGCACAGCCAACTGCAACAAAAAAATATGTACAATAAAAATATCAGAGGTCATTTAACAAACTTGACAAGTTGTGTCTAATTTCTCTGGTGTGCCAGTATTTCCAAGTTGCCTTCTAAGAAAGTATCTAAATGCAGTTTCAGACACCGGACCAAGAAAACATTAAGTTTACATCTATTAAATTAAGTAATTTACTTTATATTAAAAAAAAAAAAATCAGCTAAATATTATATGATTCAAACATGCCCAGATCAGTAGAACTAAAACCTGTTACTTGTGTTTTAAGAAATCACAAGGACAAGTAGTCTTGCTGCTTAATCTGAAAACTGAGAAAGAAGTATTATTCAGGAATTTTACAGACTGTCTTAGTGGTTCTTCCTGCAACTAGAATCAGTCTGACCCAGAAGATTGTCTCTTCAAGATGTTTCCTTTGTACCTTAAGGTACAAATCATTTTTTGTACCTTAAGAACTGTTATCAAACATTTTGTCTCCTAAAGGATAATTTCTTCCACTATTATTTATTCTGAAGCCAGAGTAATCAATTTTCTAATATCCCTAAGCTCTCCATCCATCCTTCCTCAGAACCATCATAGTAACGCCACTAAGACACGCTGTGTTATTCCCTTAAAGATTCCCAACTCCAAGCGAAGAATCCTAACAAATCAGCTTTGCACACCTGTCTCTAGCTATCCTTTGTTAACAACACACTATCAGACCGTACATCAGTCATCTAAAGCCTCAAAGGCTACTAATAAAGCAAGAAACTAACTGCTAGTGCTTTGAGTTACCATGTACCTGCTTGACAGAATAATAAGGTTAACCCCTCCAGCTTTCCTAAAAGGAGCAGCAGAAAACACCCCTACTAGGCAGCACTAAAATGATGCTACTCTACACAGGATTATGTGAATCAAACAGCAGGACTTAAGTCATCCTTCAGAATCCCTCATAAATGGGAACTGAGTTCTGAAGTGGATTGAGAGACATAAGGGTGGAACACATCACCTATGGAAGAAGGTATAGATGCCTATGCTTAAAACTTGAAAAACTTACCAGATTCCTAATAACCTAAGAGCATCTTTTACAGCCAGGACAAAAAGACACCCATGTTGCTACCTATGTACCTACCGGCACAATCGGGAAATAGGAATGGATGTTCTGATATTCCATCGTAAATGCAGACTGACAGAGTTTAGGCTGACTTTGGACAAAAAAATACTGAGAATTATTTAACCAGCAAAGGAAAACTTGGCTAGTTTTCAATATAATACTAGTTAGCAATATAATTAAATATTCCCTGAAAGTTAGTCAAATGCTCCCCAAATTGTACTTGGCCAGCTGTAAAAACAAGTGATACTTGTGACAGTTGATAGGGTTCAAACAAATTCTAACTAACCAGATCTACTTATTACCATCTCACTTCTCCTTTCTCTTGCCAGGTTCATGTGGCCTTCTTTTCATGGCCTTTTGGAACACCTTTCCAGAAACTGCTTTCCCTATGCAAGCAGGAAGTCTTGAGTTCATTTTCTTCCCTTGTTTCCTCTCAAGTCATGTTCTCTCTTCACAACTGCTTCACATAAAAGACACTTTACTTTAGCCCACTGTTCTGCCTTCCCACAACCTATTCATAGACACACATTTCAAACTG